GTGGCTTTTAGGCTAGGGTGACATCTGAGTGCGATGCCTATTCACCATATGAAGCAGAGGGAGTATAAGCATTTTCAAAAGTCATTAAATCACATTACAAGTCATTTTCCCCCAAAAAAGTCACACGCTTTTTTCTGAAAATAGCAGTTTTACAACACACATCTGACAAGTCTCACGCATAAGGTCTGGTCATATTAAGAAATACTAATTTAGTATTTTATAATATTCGACCTTGCGGCTGATAAAACAAATAGAAATTAAAGCAGGGTTGTTTTAGAAAATAAATTTTGGATTTGCTAGATTTTCTAAACTTTCGTTGCTTCAAATCATATATAATATTATTAATAATAATAATAATAATACTCTTTATTTTTGACGGGGGTCCAACAACTGCACATGGCCTACATATTGGTACACCGCTCGTCATCAAAAAAATGTAGCCAATAAAACAAGGTCATAACTATGTACAAATAGTGCACTCACGCCTATGTCGAAAAACAATGTAATCGCTAAAAATGCCAAATAAAATAAAAATAAAATAAAAATGAAGCGTGATAAAAAATGTATCACGCTTATTGAATTTAAGTTGCATTCTTGTTAGTGGTGACGTGTCATTCAAAGCAGAAGGATAAAAAGATATCTGAAATTGACTGGACCACAAGGTAGCCTGAATACATACGGCGCTTAACAAAAGAGGTGAGTCAACAGCACCGCTCACAATCTTTTGTGAAAACATAAAATCACGTAATCCTCTGCATACTAGAAAAGTATAAAATGCAAGTTGTTTTTTTAGAGTAATTGGTCATAGTTGTAGAAGCGGGTCAAAAAACCTGTCATACATGATACCTGTGAAGCGTTTTTGGACACGCTCAATTTACTGGCCGTCTAATATTAATAATGAATGCAATACAAATGGCAAAGTCTGAGCTGTACGATCACCTTAATGTCACTAATACATCTCAAAAAGGCCACATATAACAACTTTCCGAACTTTTCTGAAAATTGGCAAAGGAACATAGACATTTTGTTTTTAATTTTCTAAGATACAAGATTTCTTTCAATTCATAAAGAAATATTCAATCTATATTGAGAGTGTCACAGAGCAGTCCTAGTGCATTGGTTTGAGAAGTGAGAAAGTGAGCGGTCAGGCGCGCAATCGCCGACAACGGGGAGCAGAGTCAGTTTCCAACTTGGCTGTTAAATATTTAATAACTTCAAAACAAAAAAAAAGTCCGTCAGGCTTTCTGTTTGCGCTTTGCTTCACTTCAAGAATTTTGCCAAAGACTTATCTATTTTAACTAACTGTTGGGGTTGCAAACAAGCTGGTGAATATTAACCCCAAACAAAACCCCGAGACTGCGGGTAAAAACAACACAAGCGCTAAAAATTTGTAGATCATAGTGCGTATATCGTTTTTACCCGCCGCCTCGGGGTTTTTGTTATGAGATTATTCGTCGAAACTAAAAATTTGACCTTACAACCGTACATGAATTGAGACGAAAACACGTCCATGTATGCTTCTTTCCTACGGCCAAGGGCCAACAGGATAAAGGTCGGTATGCTTACTTCATTTTTCGAACAAGGCATTCCCTCTATAAGGCGGCTCAAAATGCATGGTACGCTTTGATTCCTCGGACAGCAAAAAAAATTGCAATCTTCATTGTATGGATATCTCTGTTGGACAAACAAAATGTACGTGACTTCATAGGTTATAATGCTAATAGAAATGTAATAAACTTCGTTTGTTCGAGAACACATATACCTTTAAGAAATATTCTATTCACTCTATGATTTAGGGTGGTTTCAAATGAAATCGGGCAGGCTAAAAGGATCTAATTTTTAATTTTGTCGATAAACATATTTGTTTTGGGGGCATTTTTCAAATGAAGTAGGGCGCAAACCGCGTGTTCCCCAGATCTTTTGTTCTCGAGTTACGAAGCGTAGAAGCCGCGGTAGCAGAAACTAGTGTTTTTGCCTGCCGTGCAGGTCGCGTGTTTGACACCCTCTGCTCGCGCTAATGTTTTTCTACATGCTTTTAACCTTTCCCCTTTTTTAATAAGTACTATAAAGATACCTTGACGTATTAAAATATTTCTAGGAGTTTGACTATTTTCTAAAAAAAATGTCAAACTCGCCACTCAGGTCGATTTTTGGTCAAATTTGACATGTCATTACTTTGTCTGCACTTAAGGTAAATTTTTTTTTGGCTCTATAGCAAGCCCAAAGCAGGCCTATTGAAGATATAATATCATTTTGATCTGTTGATTAGCCGTTCCGCTACCTTCACGTGAACGTTGTAAGAAATAAATGTTGAAAGTTCAAGGTCCATTTTTGTAAATTTTTATTTTTTTTAAATTCTTTTGGATATAATACTCCAATACAAGAAAGAACGATCTAGAAATGTAGTATTTCGGTTGTATGTCCTGTATTTGAGTCGCAATCGCGTGAATTGTGTGCTCATTTGACTGAAATGAGCAAACATTTCACATGATTGCGGTTTAAATATAGGACACAAAACCAAAATATTTATATATTAAATATGTATAAAGCAGGATCAAAGATAAAGGCGAAGGGCCGGTCCGGTTGATCTGCTGGCAGCTCTTCGAGATTGCGCGGGGCACGAGAGAGCGCCAGGCGCGAGCCCCGTGCAGAACCGAAAAAGACCGAGGCGCGCTGTCATGCGTGAACAATCGAGGTGTTTGTTAGCTGTGGCAATATCCTTCTAAAAATAGTTGATTCAGGAGTTTTCGATGATGCTCACGAAGTTTATAATTAGAACTATATGTCTATTTTCACTAATTAAAAAGTTAATTAGCGAATTTTAATTAATTAGCCGATTTATCGCAATAAATAGCCACCCACATAATGTCCGCCTGGCCATATAACCCACCTGCACGAACCGCGTTAATCGCATTAATGTAGCCTTACGGGTTTTTCAAGCAAATGTGTAAGAAAAAAAACACTCTGTATATATATATATATATATATATATATATATATATATTCTGACAGTAGGACATTGAGGTGCAACGAGAGGGACAAAAGGAAGAAAAGAAGTGGCTCGTAGACGGGAGAAGGACGAAGTGGCAGCAAGGACCCTGTAAAGTGCTTCGACAAACAGGACCCGTGAGCGACCGGCTACGAGACCTCAAGGCAACTCGAGAAGCATCTCGGACTTTCCCGGCTCACCGCAGTCAACTGAAACTGTACGTGTCAAGACAGACATTCAGTCAAGACGAGCATGGGACAAAGACTGCCGAGCGAGCAAAATGGGACAGTAGGACATTAATGTGCAACGGGCGGGACAAAAAGGAGGAAAAGAAGAAAAGGAAGTGAGTCGTAGACGGGAGAAGGCCGAAGTGGCAGCAACGAAAAAAAGCGATCTGTAACAGTATATATATATATATATATATATATATATAAATATATATATATATATATATATATATATATATATATATATATATATATATATATATATATATATATATATATATATATATATATATATATATATATATAGGTGAAACAGAATAGCTTGAGAACAATGGACCGGGAGAATGTAGTAAGTCAGAGATCCGTACTTGCGGAGTTGCTATGCTAGGAGTTTATTGTATGCATTACGACAGTTTCGCCGAGAGGCTCGGCTTCGTCAGAAGATGACATATTATTAGCGAAATTATGAAGTAACGAATGGAAGGGATTCAACCCTGATTGCAAATTTCTTGCATTATCTGCTTTATATCTGCAACAGCATTTTATAAAGTTTTTTGTATATAAACTCTTAAAAGCTAGAAACAATAAAACTGCACATGGAATCCTCTGGCCACGCTTGTACACGAATGAATTCTAGAGTGTTTATAGTTAATAAGATATTTGTAGTATTATCACATAAAAGCCTTAATTTGAACAAGACATACACAACTAAATGAGCAGTTGATAAACTGTCTCTTCAGCGGCCAATGTTGCTAAGCTTCTCTGACTATCTTCTTCTGGAGTGGACTACACTCCGCTGCAAGTACTCGCCTTTCACGCACCCTTTCAAAAATGCCATGAAACACTCCGTCAAGTTTCACACTAATATCGAAGCAAGGCAAACTTCGATTGCTTTTTATTTGATATAAATTATGTCAGGTTTCGTTATGTATCCTCACCATATGGTCACTTTCATATTATTATTCACTGAATTCGTTCAGTCAACATAACAAGAACTTTCAAGACAAGAATTACACGAATGCCATCAAAAGCAGCAATTAAAATGCTAATCAACAAATATTCGTCACTTCGGCAATGAACGTAACAATTTTACTGTATTGAAAGATAGTAGAGTGCGTCGATTTCATGGGGAATATAGCAATAATTTCACCGTCGCATCGATATGAAGTATTCAATCGAATAGGGTGAAACAATTCGTATAATGATGATAATTAGCGAGACAGTAAATATTGAAAACTGTAGTGGCTGGAACATGCATTCCTAAATAGTTTATCCAAAAATCCGTTAGAACACACGAGAAAGTCAGACCTCTTTGAAACACTTTCAACAGTCCAAAACATTTGGGCCAAGTAAACTTCGGTTTGTTTAATGAATTGGCTTGCAACTGTTATTGGCTACACAAGTCAGGCACTACATTCGTGTAAAGTAACTCCAGAGGAGCAAACATTTAACGATAATCATCAGGAATCTTGTGGAATACAATCAGGCAATCTTAAAAGGATATGAAACTATTGTTACGCCAGGTGTCATCCCTAGCACCGAAAAAAGCAGTGCCACGGGAGTGAAGACTGCCTCTTTTGGTCATTCTTGGTTAGAAAAATTTACCAGGACAATTCAGATCAAGGATCGCGTTTTTGTTCTTATGTACTTTCCTCTGGCTTCTACTGGCTTCGGATTTTCAATGAAGGAGGAAAACCGTGCCCATAGTGAATATTTAAGAACGACACTTCTAATGTACGAAAAAGCTTCAAATAAACCGAGAGGAGTTGAATGTGCAAAACACGTCATTTCCTGTGAATATGTTTAGACGTCGAGGTTATCTGGTGGAGCGCAAAACGTTGTGTTACAGCACAACTTCTAAGGCACTGTTACGTTTCTCTCGTGCTTTATTTAATACTAGTTCTTCTTACTAGCATGCCGTCCATTCCTCCGACACCAGGGTGCAGTATCTTGCATAAATCTGCCATGCTAAGTCCCACGCCCGGAAGACGACTTGGTGCTTCCGTGGCTGTCTTTGATTGTACCTTGTAGCAGTCATCCGTCTGTTGACTGGAATCATCAAATATCGTAGAGCTTCAATGAAAACATATATTATAAAGAAAGCAGGCTTTTGCTATTAAGTACAGGGAAAAGCCAAGGGGTCGACGGTGCTTGGAGAGACCGGATAAATAGGTTAGTGAACGTATTGAGCTAAAATGTTGTACGGAGGCAGCATAGGGGCGTGCATTAGAAGTATAAAAACTTTGCTGAAGAATCTAAGCTCAGCAAGAACTTTAAAATAAAACAAATAATTCAAATCCCCACCTACAGCGATCTCCCGCTAAGAAAAATGTGCCTGATTGGCGCGATAGCCGATAGGTGGCGGCACGTATGGTGGCAGGCGTATTCATCCATCCGGCGGCCACGACGGGCTCTTTCTTCAAACCCTGCAATAGCAGACGACGTTTCTGATCCGGTAGCGGGACTTTCTTTTGCCGTACAAATTATCAGCGCATGAAGACTTCATTCAACCAATAAAATATAAAAAAACGAAGATAACACGGGAACCATAAAAAAATTAAAAGCGCTAAAAACACGAAAGACTACTACTAGAGGAGGGAAGCACACCACAAAGTGCTACTTTCAACTGGCTTCATTTCCGAAAAAAAAACAACATACGTACCGCAATAACATAACAGATAATATAATCTTTACCTTAATTTATTGTCACATTATAAGCCCTAAACAATTGCAAGTATCTCAATTCGGAATCAAACAGCTTTACCTACGTAGCTGGCCTATGTCCCTTTGTCAAGCTCAAATAAAAAAAAAACGCTTTCGTTATCGCTCTTGTCTTCTTGTTTCGGTGGTTTGTTAGGATAACGGTGTAGTCAAAATAGTGTACACAGTCACATCTAGAGTGCCTTTATACACACGCGCGCTTTTGCCTGAGTGGTGACATCTCAGCCATTTTCCAGCCCAATCGTTTTTTAATGCATTTTGAAGCGCGCGCCATCTGGTGTCACTCAGCTCGAGCGCGTAGCTTTGTCTAATGCGTAGACGCCATTTTACCGCCCAAGTCACGCACCGAGTGCGCGAGAGCGTCACGTGCTGGCACATTCAGGGCAACAATGGATGTCTTCACCCTCAGACAGACAGACATGTAGGCACCCTATTCACATCTGCTACAGTGCGCTGCGAGATTATCCGAGCGGTTGATCGTAGTGACACCGCGTGCTCCCTCAGTCTTTCATTCACGCATTGCCGTATTGCCCCACGTATACCTTCACACAAGACAAGAAATTCTGTATACCGCGCTTAAGTTGCAACTTACATAACTTGCCACGTACTTTAATTAAGATTTGCATACTTATTGGTTTTATTTATTTATTTTTATTTATTTCAGGTTCCCTCAAGGCAAGTACATTGAAGAGGTGAGAGAGCTGTAAAATATTAAATATAAAATGGACATATTAGTAATAGCATTTTTAAACTTAACAATATCTGTGATGTTAGACATCGAGGCGGGAATGTGGGAAGGTCTCCGCGTGCTGGGGTGCCCCCGTGCGAGTGTGGCCTTGGCTCGAGCTGGTACCGCGGGCTGTTCTTTTTCCTTCCTTTCATACATCGAGTTGTGAGTTTGCGTTTGTCTCTTCTCTCTTCCCTCTTTACTGTTCCTTTCTATTGGTGCGCAATTTTAACCATGTTTTATCGATGTTTGTGGCATAAAAGTATATTGAAATAATGAAGTTTTAAAATTTAAAATACCAACCGTGTGGCTATGATCAAAGTGAGCAGATATGTAGAATGGTGGAGTTAGTAGTATATGACGAAGGATAATATTTTGATGAAATATTTTATAAAAAAGACACAAACGAAAAATTTTTCGGGGGTGATTTAGTAATAAGAGACCTAAAGTATTTTTCATGGTAGTAAAACTGGCAATGTGATGATGGTTTGTCAATATAAAACGAGCTGAGCAGTTTTTAATTGATTCTATAAGAGCAATTAGTGACGAGTGAGCGGGGTCTCACACAGCAGCAGCATAGTATAATTTTGGACGGATTAGGGCTTTGTACATGGTTACTTTTAAAGAAGACGGAGCGAAAAAGCAATTTCTTTTTAAGTATTCTAACATACGGTTAGTACTCTTAATTACGTATTCAATATGAATCTTCCAAGAAAGGTTATACAAGCTATGTGAACACCAAGATATTTGTAAACAGACACTGAAGCGATGGGATTACTGTTTAGATGATTAGTATGACGCACCGATTGAGCACGTGGCACTCTCATCGATTTGCATTTGTTAGTACTTAGTTCCATTAGCCACAGGTTACACTACAGTGATATACGATTAAGGTCAGATTGTAGAAGAATAGTGTCAGATATGTCGGTTATTTTCCGGCAATTACGCAATCGTCAGCAAAGAGGCAAATCGAAGACGACAAGTTGCACCCAATCATTAATGAAAATAAGACAGAGCGGCGGATCAAGCACTGTTCCCTGTTGGACGCCCGAGGTTACTGGAATAGTACACGAATTTGAATTATTATCTGTAACAAATTGTAGGCGGTTAGTTAAAAATCCATGAATCCAATTTAATACACAGGAGTCAATGTTAACTGATTGTTGGTTATGAAGAAGGAGTTTGTAGGAAACTTTTTCAAAGGCTCTTGAGAAATCCAGAAAACCAGAATCGGTTTCATTATGATTATCAAGAGAATTATGGAGATCATGCGGGAAGAATAGTAGTTTCGTCTCACATGAAAAATATTTCCTAAAGCCATGTTTTGAACTTGCTAAGAAGTCAATAGTGCCAAGAAATTTATCAGCTGCGAGTAAATGACGTGTTCAAATATTTTACATCGCACACTTGTGAAGGAAAGTGGTCGATAAATAGAGGCGTTTCATTTTTCGCCAGATTTATGTAAAGGAACCACCTTCCCAAACACTCAATCACTCAGGACTACGCCATGGTTAACAAGCAGCATATAAAGTTTTGAAAGATATATTCAACAATACATATTACAATTTTTTAAGAACTTCCTGTTAATCCCATCTATTCCGGCACAGGACGAACGCTTCATATTATTAATAATGCCAGCAACCCTAATCGCGTCAACTGCCACTGGGTTCAAAGGCAAAAAATCAGAAAACGACAATACCGGTACTTGCTTAACATCAGAGGTTGTAAAGGAGATACTAAAAGCATCATTTAATACACTTGCACTTTTAGTTACTGGTAAATCTATACCATCAGATGATTGAAGAAAAATGTTGGACTGACACTTGGGATTAACGACATTCCAAAGTTGTTTAGGATTAGTTGCGAACATGATATTTAGTGTATGATTAAAAAATGTGATTCAACTTCCGTAAGAGCTGATGTATATTCTTAATCAGCAGTTTTGTACGCAGCCCGCCGTGCATCAGCGGATGATTGTTTGGCAGCGCGAAACAGTCTTTTTTTTTTTCTATTTCGCGGACGCCTGAGATTAGAGATAAACCTAGGCGAGTTAGTGTTGCAACAAATCTTTCTTGGTGGTGTGTCCTTTTTAATTAATAATAAAACAAAAATTTTAAACAGCATCCATTAGACTCAACTTAGCACTCTGAAAACTTAGGTAAGTAATCACTAAGGAACTCAGGCAAGTACACGTTAAGTGACGTTAACTCGTGCATTCCCGTGTTCTGTCCTTCCGCATAATTTACTTAATTCGGTGAGCGAGAAGCAGAACCAAGAGTCCCTATTTTTTTTTTATTTTCGTTACTTTTCTATGATATGGCCAATGTTGTGCACATAAGGTGTTCCCACTGGTCTGATATTTGGCTTTTCCCGCTCCACCTTTCTCCTACCTCCACGAAGTTTCTTCAATGAGATATTTACCAACCCCTAAAAAGCATATTTGAGATGACCCCTTCCTCCAGTTTTAACGTGAAACATTCCTTGGCTAGGTGTGGTATTTCATGAAGGCCAAAATGAAAACTTGGGTTGAGCGCGTTGGTAACAGTGTCAAAAATACGAAAGAGTTAGACAAGGATGACGGACAGGACAAACATCTTTCTTTACTTTCAATACATTGAGGTTTTTATTGCCAGGCCGACAAGCATCGAGCTGCCGAAGACGGGGAAAGGGTTAGTGGGAAAGATTGAACACGCGAGAGAGAGAGAGTTAGGGGGGGAGGGTGAAAGGGGGTGGGCGTCCAGTCCGCCCTTAGTGTCTAACTCTTTCGTATTTGTGTAACCAAAAATGATGCCTGGATAAAAGCGTGGCCACGAGGCTTGACACTGGTTGGTTGGCGGGTGGGACAGGAGGAGTGAGTTGCTCGCGGTTGATTCGTTAACGGGTGGGCTCTGTGACCAGGAATACAGTGAGCAGGAGAGGTAGGCGAGGACGAGACTTGGGAAAAGATGAGCGGGTTAAAAGGTTCCAGAAGATCACAAGGTCTATAATTCCAAGTGTACACACGCCACAAGTAAAATTATGTGATGAAGAGCGCCGTGAACGTAGGCGTCTGGCTGAACAGGCTAAACGTGTTGCTAAACGATGATTTCAACGTTTGTAAGGCTATTACGTTTTACCTATGCAACACAATTCCCTAGCAATTAGCCATACACTTTTTCACCTAAAACTCAAAGCTATCTGCTCCTTGTGTGGGCAGGACTTAGACAATATTGCGTTTAAGCAAGTCGTGACTATACTTCTCCCAATTACTTTGAAGTGATTGGAGCATAGGGCTAAACTCGAAGCTATCACATAACAGAAGTGATTAAAGAGATTTAATCACTTGACAGAAGTGATTAAAGAGGAGGGAGGGGGCGAGGTCAAGGCGCAGGACACAGGAACACCCCCCCCCCCCCCCCTCTCCTCAGGCATTGCAGCACGACGCATTTGCAGCCTCGGAAAGCAGGCGAAGCGCGCGCATTTCAGCACGCTCGAACGTTGGAAATGGCGCCGGCCAGAAGCTCGGCTTGCCCCCGAACGCAAAAAGCACTCAGCGCGAGCTCGTAATTTCACTGCTGCAACGGCGGGCGTGCTCTGGTAAAAATCGATGTTCTTGCAGCCA